TGATCTAGTTATTTTTGGTAACTGTGTAGCAAGAATGCCTCATTCTTCAACATATTTTCTTGCGCAGATATTCTCCAAGCAGAAAAAATGTGCAAATTTACTTATGAAAGTTTACAGCAATTATTACAAGGGAAGCTGAGAACTTAATAAACATTTAAGAATATCAATTTTATACAGATGTTTATTACTTAAAAAAACTGAGCCAATTTAGAAAAGATGTTTACTGAACATAAATCCGCAACTCAAAGCACAAATCAACGGGTAAGTTTAGCGAAAGACCAGATGTAGACACCTTCTGATAAAACCGGGAATAAAAGAACTCTGCCAGGTTGCCCCGCTATCATCTTTCCCATGCATTTTCAAAAATCTAATTGAGAAAAACAATGGCTGAAAGCACAGAAACGGTCTTGATAAGCCAAAGAGGAGATTTCGAGTCCGTGGATTCCCGGACATTTGTAACTCGATGCAAACCTCAGTGTCGGCAATTAGAAAAGAAAAATCAAGTCCAGTATCTTTATGTACGCTTGACTTGTCGAGGAAGTACAGTTATTTAGTGTCCATTTCAGCCAATTTTCCTATTTCTCGACTTAACTTTACCACGATTTTCATCATTCCACAAACACTTATAGGTTAAGAAACTATTTGTGTGAAACTGTTAGCAGAGAGGCTCGTTTTGATTTAATGATCAGACGGAAAATTTGGTTCCTTCCTTTTTAAAAAGTAATTATAATTTTCTCCTCCTCATTCTTCCCCTTCTCCTTCCCCTACTTTCCAATACTTCGCCCTACCCCTCCCTTATCCACCTCATAGCATCCACCCTCATGCCACTTTATGAATGACCATTCGATTTTGCACCGACATGTATTCAACCGTCAAAACAGACCTCATGCACCGTAAAAGTTCAAAAATCACGATGAAGCTTCCATCGTCTGTGGAATGCTAAGCAGTGGTGGTTCAGTCTGAGTAATCGAATCCCAGTGCACACCATCGAAGAACGGATGCTTTTTCACCCCGTCAGCGCCACCCAACTCCACCGAGCCCAAACGATCTTCCGCTTTAAACACCAGTAATTTCTTTACAATGTCCTTTGCCACTTTAGGAAAATCATCCGGGAATTTGTAAAGAAGGCGAAGAACTCGACGGTAGATCAGGTACTCGCTTTCGTCGTGGAAGGCATGTTTCCCAGTTAGTAACTGATAAATGACAGCTCCAAGAGCCCAGTAATCACAGGCTTGCTGCACCGGTTCTCCGTTCAGCACTTCTGGACTGACAAACTGTGCGGTACCGACAAATGAGCATCGTCGTTTGCGTCCTTCTGTCAACTGAGCTATTTCTGTAGGTACCGGTTGATCCAAAATTTTTGCCGAGCCAAAATCCGAAACTAGGATGTGACCTGTTCCAGAAATAAGAACATTTTCGGGTTTCAGATCACGATGGACTATTTTTCGAGCATGCATATATTCGAGTGCTGAGACAATTTCACCACTATAAAAACGAGCTGTAGCTAGGTTGAATTTTCCTCCCGATTTTTTCAGTAATTTTAAAAGATCTCCTCCCTCGGCAAGTGTCATAACAATGTACAAGGAGTCGGTATCCTGAAAAGTACAGAACAGTTGTACAATAAATGGATGACGATCAACAGCACACGACAGACGAATAAGCGCTTCCTTCTCGCGATAGATATTTTGTACTTTTCGTTCTCTGATTAAGATCTTCTTGCAACAAACTTTCACAGCAAATTCTCGTCCAGTTGCTCGTTCTCGAGTTCGATGAACAGTCGAGAACGAACCTTCGCCTATTTCATACAGGAATTCGAAATCGGAACGCTTCATTTTCGTAAAAGTTGGAACAAATCCTGGATTGATCTCCAAA